AATTCTCCAAACATTCTTCATTATCCCAGAAATTTTCAGCTATCTTTTTCAGTTGTCACAATCAGTTTCCTTTGCTTTCAGATTTCCTAGTTTCTCACTCTGTTCATCATTCAGAAGAACTACATCTGTTGCTTTAAGTCTCTTCTTCATTTGCGAGGAGGTTGTTAAACATTCACTGCCATATAGGAGATTAAATATTACATAGCAGTCCAGTACTCATTTCTTTATGAAATGGACAAAGTCCAACAATTATTTTAAGACATTTTTATGTTTATACATTCTTTTTATAGATACAAATATTTAATAAATATCTGTTTATAATAAACAGTATTAAACAACATTTACCGTAATACTTAAATTTTTGAAAATATTTGTCCTCCGACATTCAGGCTATGTAAAACATAAAATGTCTTAAAATAATTGTTGACTTTTGTCCATTTCATAATGTGTGACGCCATTTGTTTACATTTGATACGCCATGAGCAGATATGAATGTACATGAGAGATTCATGGAAGATTGAAGTTTAAATACAGTAAATTCAACCTTGCTAACCGAATGCTCCTCTGTGGCCAAATCAATGACGGTTCCATATAGGATATAGGTTCAAATCCTGTTGGAGAATGAATATTTTCTGTGAAAATTTCTCGGACATTCAGGCCGGTAAATGTTGTTTAATACTGTTTATCATAAACAGAGCATTTACTTAAATATTTGTATCTATAAAAAGAATGTATAAACATAAAAATGTCTTAAAACTCATTTCTTTGTTTCTAAGAACATTTTCCTCTCTCTTAATACTGTGCCTCATTTCGGAATGGCATCTTCTGTTACTCATCTGTGCCTGTCGATTTTTGTGTCTACCATCAACATGGTGATATTTGCTTATCATATGTGAAGCTAATATCTGCTGATAATAAATCCTGGTATGTTTTCTAGTCTTATAATCATCTCACTATAAAATATAGGTTAAATATATTAGGTGAGAAAATGCATTCCTGTCATACTCCTCTTTCTATCCTTGTGTGTTCACTAAACTTGTTCTCCACATGCAAGCTGTTTTCTCTGAGTAGAGGTTATGGATTATTCAAATATCTTGCCTATTTCCCACCTCTTTGTACAAAGGTATTTGATAAGTTATGACACAATCTATGAAAACAAAGATATCGATATTTTTGTATTTGTATTCCCTGCTCTGATAGCATTCTGATCATAAAAATCACCTTTCTTTTCCAGTGTCTTAAACAAAGCCACAATTTTCATGTCCTAAACAAAGCCACAATTTTCATGTCCTATTTTCAGTTTAATTCTGATAATAGTTTATTCATTAGAATACTAATGATTATTTTAGCTACATGGCTCATCAAGCTGATTATCCAATGAAATTTGCATTCATTTGCACCTGGTTTCTTTAGCAGTGCTACAAAAATTGATCTCCGGTATTTCACCATTGTCATATATTTTGTCATTTCAGTAATCTTATCAATCCTGAAATTGTCTTAGGCCATTAGCCTTTCTATTACAATTTTATTTGGTTTTTCTGCTTTGTCTCTCTTATCTAACTGGTGCTAAACTTAACCTTAGAAGTTAATACTACAGATCCTTTCATGTTTTTATGAATTATAAATTTCTTGCTTTTGTTGTTATGGAAGAGCTCTCCAATATATTCATTCCATCTCTGTAGTATTTTTTTCTTTTTTCATTATGATTGTCCTCTTTTTAGATTTTATACATCCTGCCAAAGAACACATATTCTGTTTTATTTCTTTTGTTTTATGTTTGCTTGCCGTGTCTATGTTCTGCAGTTTTTCAATTTCTTTAATTGGCATAATTAACATTGCCAGATTGCAAAGTTATTCTAAGTAATTTTCTCCAAACCTACGAGGATCAGCTGAAAAGTTCATAGGCTAAGCAAGATATAAATGTAAGTAAACACACCAGTTGGTAGACTAAAAGACATGCAAGTGTACCAGAATACAACAGCTTACATTTATATCTTAGCCAACCCTTGTATATTTCATAACTTTGGTATGAGTTTTCAAACTGTTGGTAAAATTATTTAGTATTATTTTCAAAATCATAAAAAAAAAAGAAACTGAGATATTTGATTATTTCTAAAAATTTGTTGATGCTACTTAATTTATTAAGCAATTTCTTAAGACAAATGTGGGAGCAAATGTTTTTTTTTTTTTTTTTTTTTTTTACATCATTGCTATGTTTATGTGTAAAAATATTTGAATATAAAATCAATAACATCTAGGAAAATCACAAAGTAGACTTGAAATTGAACTTGGGCTGCTTTACTATTTTTGTCAAAAAGGCCTAAAATATTCAACAAAGATTACTTGTTAGTAAACTATACCATTGTTGTTTCTTTTGTTACATGTTAGATTTTTTTTTCCTCTGATCATTGACCAAAATTTTATAAAATAATCTTACCAAATCATTTACTTATTTTCACATTCTTTGTAAATATCAAATTGCACCCTCTTACATATATAGCAGCTTCACATATATTTATATCTATATTAGACAGTTGGTTATTGAAAGATGGTTTAAAGAGTTTTAATTTAAATCCTGTTTCATGATTTGTCTTACTTTTGATGACAAAACAGCCAGCTTAGATCTTTTCAAGAATATTTCTGGAGTAATCTCTTATATAATATCCATACTGACTCCATACCTTATGTTTTTGAATGGACAAAGTATTTTAAATTAAAAAAAAAAAACATACCCAGTAGAAAAATCTTCTTTCTCATTGTAAAACTATTCTCCATATATATATATATATATATATATATATATATATATATATAATAATCTTTTCAAAATTTGATTGATTGATTTTGTTTTTTTTATCAACCTTTTGCAGGTTATTTAAAGCCAGAAAATATTTTCAGTTTGTAAGAATTTTTGGGAGATAATGATTTATTGATACAAGTCCTACTATAAATAACCCATAGCTGGGTGAAGAGAAGGTGGATTCATAGTTTCCCCTCTTCCAAGATATTTGTGTGTAAGTGAATATAATGAATCCAGCTTGAATTGGAAATTGGAGAGCCAAGTTCCAATTACTATCCATTATACTACCAGCATATCCAAGCTTAAAGCAACTTGGCATTCCCAATTAGGTACTGAGCAGGCTTGGCATTGTTTAACTTCAGTGATCATATGAGAATTGGTGTTTCAATGTGATATGGTTGTAAGCTGATATCTTCTATCTAATATTTAGCATAATTATGAACACAAACCTGAGTGATGAGTTTAGCAGTATAGTTTGGTCATCTTCATCAACTATGGCATTCATGAAATCCAAAAGAAAAAGAAAAGTAAAAATATTTATGGACAATATATCAAATTTTGCCCTGAAACATTCTGCCAACTTTCTTTTCACTCTACTAGTATATATAATCACAAAGTTGAAAAAAAATGTCACTCAGTCTCCAGTGCTTGGTAGATGTTCGCTTATTACTACTCATTTATAAGAAGAATAGTTCAAGATAAAAATGGAAGTAGGAGAGTTGTCAGATGACAATCATCAACTGTCAAGGTAAATGCAATTTAATGTGTTGTAAAATGCTTGAAAAGGAACTGAGTATTCATCCTTTTATTTCAGATGGTGATTAATCTACACTTCAAAACCATTGAATTAGGAATCAAAATTTAATCTAGTCACATAAAAAAAAAAATGAAATCATCATGTGAGAAGATGGCTTTGTATGAGTGTTAAGAAACAATTGTTTGTATAGATGCCAATGTACTACATATTTGACATGCACCTCACTCTGTCAATAAGCATTTCAAGGAATACATTAACTATTCAGCTCTCTGCTCACAATACATTTTCTGGCTCCACTTTTCTGCTTGGTGAAGTTTTTCTTTTTTAAATCATATTCAGTAAAACAACAGATTATTGGTATTGTATACCTTAGTATAATATATATATATATATATATATATATATATATATATATATAAAACTTATTAGACAAATCCTATCTTGGTCTTCTATATCTAAAAGCCTTAATGGTCTTTCTGAGGTTGGTAGAGATAAACATTAAAAAAAATTTACAAGAGATTTCCTAGGAAATAATCTTCAAAATTTCTTCTAGATTTTGTAAATATATTTTAAGAAATAAATCCTGATGGACCGATATAACTGTTGGATTTTTTTGTTATGAATAATTTTATATATATATATATATATAATTACTACCTTAAAAATCTTTGATTTTTAATTTTTATAAAATCAATGTTGATAGGTTTAGAAAAATCTTGCTTGTAATCAAGATGAGTACAACTATTTCTAATAATTGCATTGAAAAGTCTAATTCGCTTTTAGAATAGAGCCTTGGCCAGTTGATCTGTTCCTGTAATAAAACCTGCCAATGAGTACCAAGATATTCAATAATGTCTTTGAGATTAAAATATTACCAAGCTTTTTGTAACTGAGGAAGTGATTAAAACTATTATTTAAAAAAAATGATTCTATAGTTTTTAATAATCATTTATTTAAATGTATTTTTTTTTTTATCTTTATCTAATTAAACTGTGCTTGGCAATGATGTCCTACATTTATTTTTACTTTCTTTGGTTTTATTTGTAATTTTTAATGCTTCAGAATATTATACATGCATATGAATGAAACAAAGAGAAAACAAAGAAAATTTGGGAAGACAAAGAAAGGCCCAGTAGTGACAGTGAAGTGTTTATTTTACTATACCAGTGGGATACCTTTTATCAGTTGATGTGGATTAGATGATGATATAAAATTATTTGATGAGTTTTTCTTTGTTCATTTGCTTTTTCCACCATACTAAATATTTTCCTAATCAGTATTCTTTTCCCCATTCTATCTCTCCATCATACATTTTGCATTCATTCACTTTCATCATTTTCACAATTATTACATTTTTTTTTCCTTCTTTTTTTTTCTTCTTTATACTTTCTTAACATTTTTCTTGTATCTTTCTATCTTTCCTTAAATTTTTTTTTTGCATAGGGGGACTCTCTCACCTTTATTCATTTGTCCTCTTTCATTCACCTTTTCTTCTTATTTCTCTCTCTCCCCTTTTTTTATTTTTATTTTTTTTGCTCTCTCTCTCCCTTTTTTTTTATTGTTTTTGCTCTCTCTCTCCCCCTTTTTTTTATTGTTTTTGCTCTCTCTCTCTCCCCTTTTTTATTTTGTTTTTGCTCTCTCTCTTTCCCCCTTTTTATTTTGTTTCTGCTCTCTCTCTTTTTTTCTTTATTTTGTTTCTGCTCTCTCTCCCCTTTTCTTTATTTTGTTTCTGCTCTCTCTCTCCCCTTTTCTTTATTTTGTTTCTGCTCTCTCTCTCCCCTTTTCTTTATTTTGTTTCTGCTCTCTCTCTCCCCTTTTCTTTATTTTGTTTCTGCTCTCTCTCTCCCCTTTTCTTTATTTTGATTTTGCTCTCTCTCTCCCCTTTTCTTTATTTTGATTTTGCTCTCTCTCTCCTGTTCTTTATTTTGATTTTGCTCTCTCTCTCCTGTTCTTTATTTTGATTTTGCTCTCTCTCTCTCTCCTGTTCTTTATTTTGATTTTGCTCTCTCTCTCTCTCCTGTTCTTTTATTTTGATTTTGCTCTCTCTCTCTCCTGTTCTTTATTTTGATTTTGCTCTCTCTCTCCCTGTTCTTTATTTTGATTTTGCTCTCTCTCTCTCCTGTTCTTTATTTTGATTTTGCTCTCTCTCTCTCCTGTTCTTTATTTTGATTTTGCTCTCTCTCTCTCTGTTCTTTATTTTTGATTTTGCTCTCTCTCTCTCCTGTTCTTTATTTTGATTTTGCTCTCTCTCTCTCCTGTTCTTTATTTTTGATTTTGCTCTCTCTCTCTCTCCTGTTCTTTATTTTGATTTTGCACTCTCTCTCTCCTGTTCTTTATTTTGATTTTGCTCTCTCTCTCTCCTGTTCTTTATTTTGATTTTGCTCTCTCTCTCTCCTGTTCTTTATTTTGATTTTGCTCTCTCTCTCTCCTGTTCTTTATTTTGATTTTGCTCTCTCTCTCTCTCCTGTTCTTTATTTTGATTTTGCTCTCTCTCTCTCTCCTGTTCTTTATTTTGATTTTGCTCTCTCTCTCCTGTTCTTTATTTTGATTTTGCTCTCTCTCTCCTGTTCTTTATTTTGATTTTGCTCTCTCTCTCCTGTTCTTTATTTTGATTTTGCTCTCTCTCTCTCTCCTGTTCTTTATTTTGATTTTGCTCTCTCTCTCTCTCCTGTTCTTTATTTTGATTTTGCTCTCTCTCTCTCTCCTGTTCTTTATTTTGATTTTGCTCTCTCTCTCCTGTTCTTTATTTTTGATTTTGCTCTCTCTCTCTCTCCTGTTCTTTATTTTGATTTTGCTCTCTCTCTCTCTCCTGTTCTTTTTTATTTTGATTTTTGCTCTCTCTCTCTCTCTGTTCTTTATTTTGATTTTGCTCTCTCTCTCTCTCCTGTTCTTTTATTTTGATTTTGCTCTCTCTCTCTCCTGTTCTTTATTTTGATTTTTTCTCTCTCTCTCTCCTGTTCTTTATTTTGATTTTGCTCTCTCTCTCTTCTCTCTCTCTTCTTTCTTTTGATTTTGCTCTCTTCTCTCTCTCTTCTTTCTCTCTTTTCTTTCTCTCTTCTTTCTCTCTCTTTTTCCTCTCTTCTTTCTCTCTCTTCTTTCTCTCTCTTCTTTCTCTCTCTCTTCTCTTCTCTCTCTTCTCTTCTCTCTCTCTTCTCTTCTCTCTCTCTTCTCTTCTCTCTCTCTTCTCTTCTCTCTTCTCTTCTCTCTCTCTTCTCTTCTCTCTTCTCTTCTCTCTCTCTTCTCTTCTCTCTTCTCTTCTCTCTCTCTTCTCTCTTTCTTGTTTCTGTTCCCCCCCACCCCCGCGCTTCTGGCTTTTCTCATATCTCTCTCTTGTTCTCGTTTTTATCATTCCATTTTATTTTACTTTACCTTATTTTTCATTAACTATCTACTCTTGTTTGTGAATATTTTGCTGCTATTATTTCTTTCTCTCTCAATACTCATTCTCTTTTTGCTAACTCATAATTCCTCTCTCTCTCTCTCTCTCTTTTGCTTTCCTTAATTGTGTTTTTTCCCACTTTGTTTAATCTTTATTTTCCTTCCTTTTTGTCTCCATAAAATGCTTTATAATTATAACATTTCTTCCCTCTTCTTGTGCTTTTCTCTATTTCTCTTTAATAAACAGAATTTATATGTGAACTATGATTTAAAGCTGAGATGGCATGTGGATTATGCTTTCATTAAGCAAAAAAAAAAAAAAAAAAAAGATATAAAATTCTAGTTAAGCAAGTGCCAGGCTAGAAGATGAACATAATTATATAAACATGCTGCACACTGATGTTTATGTTGTGCGATATTAATACACTGGCTACTGGGAATTAAATATCCAATGACTCATATTTTATTAGCAAAATGACTTGTCTTCTTTGAAGGCTTAATGGAAAACCTATGTTTCTATTTGAAAATGTTCTTAAGTTTATATTAAATAATTGTTTTTATATTATATATATATATATATATATATATATATATATATATATATATGTATATGTGTGTGTGTGCAAACACACACTTTTTGGTTTGATATATTTCACAAAATATAACAAATGACAAAACATTAGCTATTTATATATTTTAATTTTTTTAAAGGGCATCTTCCAGCTCCACATCAGGCATGTATACACACACACACACACACACACACACTTTTGATAAATGTGTGCATTAGGTATACCTGAGAGCTTATATGGACCATATATTTAAATATATATTTGTGTGTATACATATATTGTTACACATTTTTTAATACCCAGGTATATGCATTTGTAAATATTTGTACTTGAATAGTACCTTCAGTTTTACAGATGTTTACAATAACTAATTAAAGTAACATGACATACTAAATGCATAGATAACCTATCATGGTTGACTGCTAATCTATAAGTTGGACCGATTTTAAATGTGTATTAAGTTTAAAATCAGTCCAAGTTATTGGAACACCCTTTACATGTATATTTTATTTGCAGATCTATCTTTGGTATACAGAAAATGATTGTGTGTACCAAAGTAAATCTGTTTTGTAACTATTGCTAGTTATTTCAAAATTGACATGTCTCTCATATCTACATACACATGCACATATACATGTATATCTGTATACTAATATATGGAATTGTGTAGGTTTTTCTGGTTCTACATTCTCTCTTCTTTCATTTGAAATGCTTCTGTGTTGCTTCCTTGTTCAATAACTTTGTATTCTCAGAGAATTTATTATTGCAGAGCCGCATTTCAATAAGAGATTTCTTTGACTGCCTTCTTGAAAGAGATTGCTGCCCAAACGCAGTAACTTGCTCTCCAGTCAGTATTGAAATGTCTGTTTTATACAAATTGGAAACCTGCCCAGCTCAACTCCATTTATGTCTCAATTCGGTAGGAACCAGTCAGTCATACTTAATATGCATACACCTATAGATAATTATAGCTTCTCTCTTATCCAACCTTTTCTTGTCTTGTTGAATGACAGCAGAATAATAAAGAGCTCAGATATAGAAGCAAGCAAGCACTCCTCATATGATAGTTATACTATTGACATTGCATTAATGATATTTTGTATTGTGGATTCTCATAGTTCCTAGTGTAATATGAACATTGTATAAATAAAAATGCTAGGTCTGTTTGTATTAATACTGAATATTATTCCTTCATATAATAAATAGGGTCCTTTTTGTATAGATAATAATGCCTAGTTTTGTTTTGTATGAGGAGCAGAAACCAAATTTTTCTATTTATGTTAAACTTTTGAATAATTTTTCAGTGTTACTATGTGGTTAGATGTATTAACATTTTGAGGCTGTTTATATAATGACTACCAGTTTAATTGAATTTTTGTTATATTTACCAAACATTGTTTTTATTTTGTAGCAATTTTTCATTTTTGACATTTTTTTTTCCATTTTTATCCTTATACCCATTAAATGTTTACCATGGATTGAGAAAAAAACAAAAAAAAAACAACTTCAGAAAAGATTTGAACTCGTTTTCTTTATTTTTGGGAGACTAGTTGAAACAATGCTTACTGATTAGATCATAAAACGTTGCCAGCAGCGATCATTCAAATTTAACTATATAGGTACATTCAGCATTAGCAGATATAATAATGACAATGTGACATTACAAAAATTTGAGCAGTTTTTATTTAACTAATTTTAAAAGTTATTGCTTATTTTTGCAGTACTTATGTTTATTTTTTTTATTTTGGCCTTGCTATAATTTTAAAAATATCTTGTGCTAGTCACTTTGAATATATTTTTATTTATAGAATGATTTTAATACGTTTTACTTATGCATGTAAGTTCTTGAATGTGCATAAGCCTTTTAGCAAAAATATAATTTGAAAATGTAGATAATCTTATATTATTAATATTCAATTGACCATAATATAAGGTTTTGGAAAAATTTATTTAAAAATTTCATGGCCAATTGAAAAAGAACATATTTGTTTTTCTTAGCAGCTTTTACTGCAATTTTTATGTCCCATTTTGTTCTCTGGCTATTACTTTAAAACTGTCTTGTAAAAATAAAAAGGATGAAAAGCTACTTGATTATTTTCAGTATACTTAAATTCATAATTTTTTTTCCACATTCAGTAAGGATTTTTTAATTATGAGAATTGTTTCTCTTTCAAACATACATTGCAATGCAACTTATGCACATTTTTATAGCTATTAGTCTATACAAAATATTTATCTACTCTCTCTCCCTATATATATATATATATATATACATGATGGCCATGTTGGCTGAAACTATTCAAGGAATCTAAATGAAATAATAAAAACGAAAGAATATTAATATACAACCCAGTGTGTCTGAAGATTTTAATATTTTTTATTGGTCAATATATATATATATATATATATATATACACACACACACAAACTTTTTTTTTCATTTGACATTATTAGGTTATTAGTCACATCAACTTGAGGCTCTTTTACAACAAAATAATTAACTTCTGTTTCGGTATTACGGGAAGAACTAAATATTTTTTTGTCTTGGAAGTGTTTCCCAAAAATTTAACCAAAAGACCACACATTAGAATATTTTTTTTTTTTTAAGAGCTATTGGTCAGGCTAAGAACTTTTCAGCACCCCCTTGTATTGCTTTGATTAACTGCCATATTTTGAAACTGGTCCAGCTGGCAACTTAAATTGATTTTTAAATCTTGTTTAAATAAAGCACTGGAGAAGATATTGTAATATGTACAGTTCAATGCTTTGTGTTGAATAATTGAAATCATTATACCCAAGTGTAATACATGTCTTTTAAATTTACAGTAAAAAGGGATCTGTCAGTTATGGAAATTTCTATAACATTCAGATCCCCCTTATATTTTAACAATATAATGACAGTAAAATTAAAACCAGTTTCATGTGTGTATGTGTTTTCTGGCCCGGAAGCAAAGATTACATAAAAATTTAAGCTAAAAACTTCCCACCAACCTTTACACCAAATTTTATGA